CTACCTACCTACCCATCTACCTACCTACCTACCTACCCATCTACCTACCTACCTACCTACCCATCTATCTACCTACCTACCTACCCATCTACCTACCTACCTACCTACCTACCCATCTATCTACCTACCTACCTACCCATCTACCTACCTACCTACCTACCCATCTATCTACCTACCTACCTGCCCATCTATCTAAATACCTACCTACCTACCAAGTAAGCCTCCTGAAAGCTTCATTAAAAGGTTTCCACTGTGAGGTAAGAACACAGTCATCTATGTTGACTGATCAGATGTATAAAAGCTGGATATAAACACTTAGTAAAGTTAATATATCAGTGTGGAAAAGTGAAGATGAATCATCAGGTTTCAAGGGTGTGTGACGTGTACAGATGTTGTCCAGCAGGTGGCAGCAAAGGACTGCACTTTAATTTCAATTTGTCAAATTCAACGGGGATTATATACACTTGTTTTTATTTTTAGGATTTTCTTTTCTTGAGGTTTTATATTGTTTTTGGTTTAAGGACATTTCAGCAAAAACAAACAATGATTTTATTTTTTTAAATGCTTTTTTAAGGATGCAAATCACTGACATATATTTTGGGAGTGCCCTGTAAATAGAGACAGACAGTTTTGGTCTGAGACACCTTACCTATTTAATACTTTGACTTTAGGAAAAGCTGACTCTTGATATTAAGGGGTGTAATAACTTTAATGTGTTGTGTGTCAAAATTTGATTCATTTATGTCAAAAACAAATATATTTACACATTATACTAAAAGCTTATTCATTTAATTTTAAAATATGTATCGAGAGGATACGGGCGTGTGTAACGTGTACGGGGTCCCTCAAGAAAGAGGCTGGGAGCCACTGTCTTTTAGGATGCCTGGTCTCCAAACACACTTTAAATAATGAACTGGAATGTCAAATTTGATAATGTATACCTTTGTTACACAATCTTTTTTCTAATGCAAAAAAGTTTAAGAAAACTTGATAGGATACACAGTTTAAAAAGGATAATGAGGAAAGAAGGTCTGAAGATATGGTGTTTAAACTTTTGGATCTGCAAGTATATATACTGTATTCTTCTTTAATAAAAATAAATAAATAAATAAGTCTATATGAATCCTCCTCCTCTCCTCTGACGTACAAACTCATGTTCATGCTAACCTGACAACAAAGACGTGAAAGGCTGCAACACGTCACCTCTCCAGACAGAAACTTAAGACTCAAGATTCCTGCAAGGGGACAAAAACAAAAGACAACTTAAATGCGACAATAACGACTCTCAGAGCAGTTTTTTTAGGATGAAAATATAAAACTCACATGTTCTCTTTATTTGCTGTATATAGATAGATGTACACCACTGGAGATTTGGATAAAAGCACACACAAAAAGCTCATGTATGTAGATTCTCAACACATGTCTGAAAGATGAAAAAACAAAAACAAAAATAAAACGGAAAAAGATGTGGGATTACAAAGAGATAAAAAACTATCCAAATTCTATACTGGTTTTCTAAATGTAAATAGTCACATGTGTTGTGCCACATACCAACTGTCTGCAGTTGCTAATAACCTCTGGGTTCTGTACACAGGGGGGGTATTTTGTACAAAATATGAAAACTACCATTTAATAATAGTTATGACATAAAATAAAAGTACATTATATGTACAATATTAGATGAAGCCGTTTAGTATGAGACGTATACTAAAGGACACTTCATTCTTTTTAAAGAAAAAGCTTATGTAATGTGAAGAGAGCTCCAAAGAAGCCAATATTAAAGCCATTTCAAGAAGAACAGCAGTCACCAGAGGGACGATCCTGCAGCGCAGCCGACAATCAGAGAATGCAGATAGCTGAAGGGATGGAGTCACTTTAATCAAATCCACTGGGACGGGGGTGGTTTGGTGTTTTTGAAGAAGGGGTGTATGACGTACTTATACATAGTCAGTGTGTTACCCACAGTAGATGTTAGTCGGCACGCCTTCAGTTTGGAGAAGCAGGCTGGAGCCATCTACTGCTGTGGACGGGTGTAGCAACAAAATGATTTTAGCCACCTAAATAAATCAATATCAGTTTTAGTGTATGCTACATTTAGAGTGTTTCATGACTTTACTTTTTTGTCAGACAGCCCGTTCTGTTAACAGCTTCAATTCCCCATCTCTGCTCTCGTCAAAACGACCAGACCCCATTGACAAAATTAGCTATTTTAGCTCACTGAACACAGGAGCTGCTGGTCTACCACTGCCTCGTGTCGTCAGTTTGTTTGTGTTATTAAGTGGCTTTGGTGAATCTGAAGTAACCGTTTTAAATGCCGAAGTCACACAATGACACAAACTAACTAACTAAACGAAGCAGCAGTAGACCAGCAGCTCCTGTGTTCAGCCACGTTAAATCACTGTTTTTCTCAATGGAGTCTGGCTTTGAAGAGAGTGATATTACAACTTCATTTTCCGATTGGAAATCACTGTTTGACATTAAGGTAAAGCAGTGAAAATATTCTAAATATAGCGCACACTTAAACTGAAATTGATTTTTTTAGGTGGCTGAAATACATTTTGTTGCTGACCCCTCCACAGCAGTACGCTGCTTAGCTTCCATGTCAGACTCCAGCCTGCTTCTCGAAACTGAGGGCATGCTGGCTGACATCACAATGAATAAGTACCTTATACAACCCCCAAAAAATCTGAACTTTCCCTTTAATACCCAGGGCAGAGGGGGATGAGGTGTTTTGTAAGAGCCTTTGGTGAATGTTGTTCTTCAAGACAAACGTGGAAAGAACAAAAACGTGACTGCAGTATTATTTACAATTTGCACATTCAGTTGAAACACTGACAGGAGGTTCTGCAGGCAAAGGAAGAATAAAACCACAACAAAAAAGAACTTGTGAGCATCCAGAAGCAGATCGAACAGATGTCCAAATAACGAGCCCTAAGGGTGGAGAGGGGGGGGCTGGGGTGGAGGTCGGGGGGGGGGGGGGGGGGGGGGGGGGGGGGGGGGGGGGGGGGGGGGGGGGGGGGGGGCCAGGATGCAGGTCTGGGCAGAGGGGGGGTCAAACGATGGTACAAATCAGAAGCGGGATGGAAAAGTCACGATGGGAGGTGATTTCCTCTCCTGTGGAGGCTAGCTGACCCACACACCAAGACAGACAGCATCACGGATTTCAATTCTTTACTATTTTTTTTTTTCAGTTGTGTTTCTATTGTTCTTTCAAGTTTTATCAGGAAGTGCTTCATCGCTGAAGTGGCTCGGGGCGACCACTCTGCTTCTCCTCTCTAGCTTTTAACTACAAAACCAACTTTGTAGCTTTGACAAGGCATGTGTGCTGGAGGTGTGCCAAGTACAGACTGTCCTGTTTTTTTTGTGGAAACTAATGTTACAATTTCTTTTTAATGATCATTTCGTCTCATGCTACTACTCGATTCTCTGTTGAGCAAATATCCCCTTAGACTATAAAAGGCACTGTGAAAAGAAAGGCTTATGTTTGACCTCTTCAAACCAAACATACCTCATCTATCGGAGCAGTCAGATCTCTAACAAGTGTTTTATAAATAAAAGGGTCTTGCTTGAGAAGAGTAGAAAAAGCGATTCGCCATCAGCACAGTTTTCTGCCCCCGTTTGACTTCTCCGGACACACAGCAGCATTGTGTAAATCCCAGACGAGCAACTGCATCTCTCTGACCTCTCGTAAGCCTCACATGAATGACAGCGACTTGTACTGAATGCTAACGACCATGTTGAACACGCTCCTGCCATGGCTGGATGTGTACGGGCGACCGAAAATAAATCCCACAATCCCCTCTCATGTAACTGGCACGGCAAAGCTGGACTCATCCCGAGGACCAATCAAATGGATCTAAACATGTAACAGTAAACTGTCTCACCATTGTTTGAGCCGCTGATGCACTCAGCAAACCTGCGTTAACTTCTTGCCTGATTGTTTTTAAAGGGACAGTTCACCCTAAAATCAAAGATACATATTTTTCCTCCTCCCTGTAGTGCTGTTTATCAGTCTAGATTGTTTCGGTGTGAGTTAAAGAGTATTAGAGACGTCTGTCTTCTCTCCAATATAAAGGAACTGGACAACACCAAAAAAAAAAAAAAAAGAAACACATTTGAAAACTCAACATCAATGTCTCTTTCCAGAAATCATGACCTGGTTACTCAAGATAATCCACAGACCTTGTTGTGAGCAGTTTCATGGAGGAACTATTTTTTTTCCTACCGAACTACACCTATCAACTGTATCACCGCACAGAAGGAAGGGTACATCTACTCATGGACGAGAGGTTAGTGACAGCATGAGATGTGTTGTTAGCTAGCTCAGTAGTGCTACTAGAGCTGCAACGGTTAATCAACAGACAGCAAAGAAATAACCGACAACTACTTAGACAATCGATTAATCCCAAAAGTAATTTTTTAATGAAAAAAAAAAAAGCAGAAAATGCTCTCAAATATGGAGATGTCCTTCTTTTCTCTGTTTTATATCATATTAAACTACATGTCTTTGGTTTTGGACTGACAGAGCAAGAGATTTAAAGACATCATCTTGGAAACTGGGACGGATATTTTTCATTATTTTCTGACATTTTCAAAACAATTATTGAGAAAAAAACTGGCAGATTATTCGAACAAACATAATCTCTGGTTGCAGTCCTAATTCTAGGTGAGCTAGTAGTAGATGCGCTTCTCCTTCGGCGCAGTGATACGTTTGGTGGGTGTAGCTCAAGAGAAAGAAAATAGTTCCTACATGAAACTGCTCACAACAAGGTCTGTGGATTATCTTGAGTAACCAGGTCATGATTTCTGTAAAGACACATTGATGTTGAGTTTTTCAAATGTATTTTTTGGTACTTTGAGCTCCACAAGCTGAGTGCCATCTAGTTCCATTATACTGGAGAGGAGACAGACATCTCTACGGCTGATATCTCCAACACTCTGCAACTCACACCAAAACAATCTAGACTGATAAATAGCACTAGAAGTCAGAGGGAAAATGTGTAAAGCTGCTTTCACACATGTACGGCAAACCTGAAATTATCTAGACATCACCCAGGGAAGCTGTATGTGAGGATGCAAATGTCCGAATCAGTTGGATTGGCCCATGTGTGAACAGAACGGGTAACTTTCCGAAGAATTCGCAGCAGGCGAGTGGGTGTGTTGGTGATGTTTCTGTTAGCAGTTTGCGCAAAACTGGAGGAAAATAAACATTTAAGGTTGAAGAAGAAGAAGAAGAAGAAGAAGAGTCATTTACACAAAGACTGCAATGAAAATGTCAGCGAGGCGATGAGATTCGGAAACTGCTGAAGCTGAAATCATAAGACAAAGTCAAGGAATGGCGAGAGACTTTGTGGTTTATGATGGATTTACAAACCAGCTACATGACCACGGTGTAATTCCATGTCATGTCCTGCTTCCTGCACGCTCTACCCAGGCGCCATGCTTCTGACACAATCTCCAGCTGTGTGCTACATGTGTGAAGGGACAAGTCTAGAAAATGTGAAAAAGCAAAAACTGCTTATATGAGTAAACAGCTTATCTTTAATTTTGGGGTGAACTGTCCCTTTAAGAAAGGAGCCAACTTGCTGAGAAACTGGCGCCTAACAAGCCCTCTACACAAAGATCTTTGAGATGAAAAACCGCAGACCTCTGTTAGTCCGGCGCTGTTCGATGAACAGAGTTGTGCTGTAACGCTTTTGATCCAGACACTCTCTGCTGTAGACCCGGGTGACCCTGTCCTGATTAACAGAATGATCAATGAATCCAAACAGCTGATGGAACAAACAGCCGAACAGAGCGGTTATACAGACAGGAAATGTGTTTCACTCTGAGAAGAGCTCCTAATATACTATGTAGGAAAAAATAAAATCTAAACAGCTGTCTAGTTTAAATGTTATGAGAAAAATAGCTAATATTAAATATATAGAAACAACTGACATTTTCTCATCAACTGATTTTTTTTTTTTTTTCTTTTTTAGAAATTAAACTGAAGGAGTCCTCTGTGGAGGTTACAGCTGGGGGGGCGGGGAGGGGGGGCTCATATTATTTGTACAAGCACCTGACATCTATAAAGAGGCAAGAAGAGAAGACAGCTCACACACAGAACAGAACACCTGAGAGAAATGACCAGAAGGGGGCAGCACAGCACCCTGAAAACACAACAGAGGACAGAAGAAAGAAAACAAGGGAGGAGAGAAGAGATAACAACACTACAGTATCTTGGGTGAAGCTCGGGGCCTCGGTGCACGTCGTGGTCATGCAGGACCGTCCAGCACCACTGACGTTTCTGCTGGACATTAACCAGGTGGATAAAAGAGAGAGGTGTGGGTGTGTCCCAAAAAAAGCCGGATCGGGCTTTGACGCGCGGCTTTAGACATTTTCTGTGTCAGGTGGAGCTGTTCAGTTCTGTGTTGTGCTGGGCTGAGAGATACCAGAGCTCTGTCGTTGTGCTGGCCGCCGCGGGCCTGTGGTTCCTCTGTGGATGCTGCTGCTGCTGGTTTCATGGTGGATCTGGGGTGGTCTCTTAGTGGCCGTCGTGCGTCGTCAACATTTCCTCGGCTCTCCGGTGCAACTCCAAAGCTGTGACAGTGCAGATGTCCTTGGGGAGTTCTGATTTTCTCCTCATCAGTGGACGCTCTCGACGCTGATCTTTTTGGATCTGGACACACAGACACACAACAGGATCAGTAACATTCAGCCAAACTTCACATGCTCAGAGTGTGTGAACCTACACAGCTCCTCAGGTCCTCTGACAAGAGTCTGTCAGCTGCTCCAAAGTGCAGGACTGAAACACATCTGCCTCCTCTCTCATAGAAAATATCTTTTCAGTACGATTCAGTCTGATCTGAATGTCTCACTGTGGCTGCACGTCCAAAATAATTTATTCAAGTATGCGTTTTTATTTATTTAGTTACGACTGATTGTATGTGACTGTTGCCTTGTGTGTGTCAACCTTGTTGTTGTCATTCTTGTTTGTTGCTGTTGTTTTTATTGCTACTGCGGCAGAATCAATTGCCCCTCGGGGACAAATAAAGGTCTTGAATCTTGAATCTTGAAAATAAATGGTCTGTGTAGGTAAATAATTTCACTGCATGACAGAATTTAGTGCAAACATGAGCAAGCCTCAAAATGCAGTGTGAAAAAAAAATATCAAAAAATGACAAAACTGAACAGAACCACTTGCAGAGGCAAACAGATGACTTCAAGGTAAATGATTTAGTGCTTAAATTCTCCCAGTTTGTCCTCTGACCCAGTTGGAAGTTGGAAGTCAGCTGGATGATACTTCACATGACTCACGTCTGTTAGCTCTGAATAATCATCTTGACAAAATAAATTATGTATAAGTGAAGGAGACTGTTTTTATTCTTCACTTGAAACAGCCTCAAATGTTTTATCCGAGGTTGGTTACAAAGTTTATTTAATTTTGTGTCCAATCACATGTTCGGAGTTTCTGCTAAACACTTACAAGCCTCGTGGAATCCATTTGATCGTACACGCTCTAAATGCAAACGACTCAATGTACGGACATATTTGTAGACACAATAAAACAGCAACAAGCCATGTTAGACGTGAGGTCATGGTCATATCCACTGCTACATTCCTACCTGTGTGGCTTCCTCCTCTACTGTCTTCTTTAGCATGTTGACGTCGTCTAGCAGCGGCCCGTCTGTCTCCATGTCCATCGGAGAGCCTGAGTCTATGGAGTCGATGTATATCAGAAACTGTGTGGAGAGAGGAGAGGAGGAGACACAGTTAAACCTGGAACCATCACTGATATTACTGTTCTCCTGTGTGCTCAATTATTCCTGCTCCTGACTTTAAATCTTTGATTAACTTTAAGAAATTGAAAAAATCTGAACCCTCGGTGACCTTTTCTTCAGTAGCACCTGATAATGTGATTATATCCTGGAAATGTAATAAAACAGCACTTAACCTGAGCAATAATGGAATAAGATGTCCCAGACTGATACTGTAATGACATTTTTACAGACACCCTTCAGGTGGGCTTTTTTTTTTTTTTTTAAAGCGGGTTGGAGTCTATCCCAGCTGACATTGGGCGAGAGGCGGGGTACACCCTGGACAGGTCACCAGACTCTCACAGGGCTAAAATAACTATTAAAGGGAAATGAACCCGCTCATGCCCATGAAGACTGGTCACTGTACAAGGATCGTCCATTAGACCAGAGTTGGTGGTGGATCTGAGCCTGGTAAGATCATCCTGATGACGTGAGCTCAACATTCTATCTCGCTCTCTGTATCAGTCCGGCTCAAATACTTTCAGTGGGTGGAGCCAGACTGATATAAAGAGTGAAACAGAGTTATGAGCTCATGTCACCAGGATGGGTTGGTCTTAGATCAGACACCATCCGCTGAACATTCACTCACAACAGCGCCCTCACAAGGGAGCAATTTAAGGTTTAATATCTTGCAGAAGGACACTTCAACTTAGGCTGCTTTCACACCTGCCCTGTTTAGTTCGGTTCAATCGAACTCAAGTTTGTTTGCCCCCTCAGTGTGGTTTGTTTGGGCAGGTGTGAACACAGCAGTCACACTCAGGTGTGCACCAAAACAACCAGACCGAGACCTTCTTAAAGAGGTGGTCTCAGTCCAGTTCCAAAGGAACTCTGGTGCGGTTGGTGACATTAGAAAGTGTCACATTTATCTTGCAAGTGTACTCTTCTTCAACGTTTGCTTTACTTCCTGGATTTTTACCACATGGAAATTCTGACCAATCAAGAGCAGCTTTCTCACACAAGGCATTTGATCTGGTCCTCTTGTAAATGCTGCCGTGAGAACACGAACCAACTCTAGGCTTAAAATCTCTTTCTCACCTGTGGGTTTGACTTCGCGAGATTCTCGATCTTCAGCCAGGCTTCTTCTCTCTCTTTCCACTTGGCTTTCTCTCTGAGACACAAAACCAAACCAGGCAAAATCATCAGAGAAAAAGGAAGAACTTACTCAAATATACACTGACGTCACAGATCTATCATGTTCAAAGTATGTTAGGAGTCTGTGGTTTAGTTTACTGACCTGCTCGGTCATTCTTTCCATTTCTAATGATGTTTGTATGTTTTCTATGATGTGTAATAAAACCAAGAGAGCCGTAGCTGCTCCACAAATCGGACCCTGACTCCTCGCTGGTGACTTACTTGCTTTTCTCTGCCCTGAACTGTTGGGTGCAGTCATCAAACAGCTTCTGGTTCATCTCCATGAAGAGTTTCAGAGCGTTGTAGATCAACCCGTGGATCGTTCTGCAGACAGAGAAAGATTACCACAGGTCACTTACGCATTTAGTATCATCACCGGGCAGAGACACAAAGACAGAGACAATGGAAAGCCTGTGCAGTGACTCACTTGTTCCAGTGGGTCTTGGAGTTGCGGTAGAGGGATGGGAACATGATGGGCAGGATCTTGGCGGCGTTGTCACTGATCAGGCTCATGATGTACTCATTGTTCCAGTAGTACAGAGCTCGTTCTGCCACCTGAGAACAATAGTTTATAAACAGGGTTACATATGCACACAGTCAACTTTTAATTTAAAGAAATGTGTACAACTACATACTAAAATCACTTCAAGTGTGTAGTGGGATGAAATGTCAGACCTGAAAGTGCGGGCTGGACACACACTTGGCCAGCTGTCTGAAGAGGGGCTCCATGACTTTGACGAACTCCGAGGGCTCGATGACGTCCAGGATCTCCTCCAGCTCGTTGAGGAACATCACTTCTTTCGGACTGTGGGTCTTTGGCCAATACTTTAACAAAGCCATTACCGTCTGCAAACAAAGTCGACAGGATAATTAAAGGAGGAGAAAAGTACAGATATAGTCGATAATTATGGGAAAACCAAAAAAATTTCAAGTCTTTATACACCGAGGGGGAAACAAAGCAGTCGCGACCATGCTGAAGAATTGCTGCGTGGCTTTCTGCACATTAAATAAACTAAAAAAATCCAGAGTTAAGGAGTAATTTTCAATCTGGCAAATGGGAACAACACGTTTTGAAATCTGTCCAGTACTGAGTGAGAGCAGTGGCCTGGCTGCATCACCATAACCGTCCACTAAACATGCTTGTTTTTGCCGCTGACATATTATTTTTATAAGTGTCTGACAAGATTAATGATAGGATCCATACAGAGATATACCCTTTTTGTTAAAGAGTAAGATCGTAATTGTTTAACCACAAACAGCGCCCAAACTGCTACCATCAAATCCACCAGACTCCATTTAAATGAACAGTAACTTAATCTTCCTAAAACACACTTTATTCAAAGTTGAAAGACACAAAATAAAACTCACAGAAACCATCTTAGTTTGTCTTTCCACTGTTTCTACAATCACCAACTCTGGTTTGGTGGAAATTAACCATCAATTTACCAAGTTAGAGGTGGAAATATGTTGGTTAGATACTAGCTAAAATTACCATTTATTTAAATGGAGTCTGGTGGGTTTGGTGATGGCAATTTCGGGGCTGTTTTTGGTAAAATGAAAAGAATCTAATGCTTTATTCAAATAGTGTTAGATTGTTTAGCCACTGGTATAAAAGTTGTTCCTCCAAGGCCTCCAAGCAATTGGAGCCTCCTGCAATCCTTAAGGCTGCAAATCCCTGATTGATAACGCTGCAGCACATAGTCAAAGCATAGGCTAATGGTGATGAGTAACATCAGCGCTACTATACTATCTCGAAACTTACATAGATTTCACTGACACATGCCAGTCTATTACATCACAGCATTACTGGCTGTAGGGTACTGATATTATAGTAAGTTTATTTAATAATATCTACAGTGACTGTTTCATATGCGAGTTTAAAAACCTTGCACTCTCTCCACGCCCCCTAACTATGACTCCAACACCGACTGTATCTACTGACGGCTGACCTGTCAAGCTCAGTGAATCTCAAATGGTGTGCTGTGATGGAAAGCTAATAACCTGTTGATGAAGCACTACTGGAGCTGGCATTTAAAAAGTTGAACAGACACATATATAGAGAGAAAGCAGATATCTATGTATATACTTTGTCATCCGGGACTGAAGACCTTTGAATCCACTAAAACCAGATTTATGTATTTCACCATGTCTTGTTATGAAGTCACACAGGCTAAGCAAGGAAATGACCTCCATCTTTATCCCCTTATTTTCATCCAAAATAATTCAAATGCATTTCCTTTGCTCTTTATTAAGATTTTAAAATAATAAAAACAGGCACCTAAGTACTTGACAAAGCACACAGCAACTTCAAACAGTGAGGAAATATCAAAAACTAGACTTTGGCAACACAGTCTTTGGGTTCATACAGACATTAGTTAACCCTGAGCTGACAGGATATCGGAGCACAATATTAATGACATAACAACATTAATAAATCCCATCTTACCGGCTCTGTGAGGGTGCTATCCTTCTCTAAGAACTGTACCACACAGTAGGCCAGCTGTGGGAGAAAGACAATGTGACGTTAACACTCGTGACGTAGCTGCAGCACAGTAAACACTGATGCTGTGAGGTTTTGTTTATGGCAGAGCGAAGCATAACACCGCATTTAAAGCTGACAGTGTGGTTACCTGTGGGTGGTAAACACTAAGAGACTTGACTTTGTGTAAAGGCAGCAGAACTTTCAGCAGGAATATCTTGTGCTCTTCTTTCAATGGTAACGCAAACCCATTGATTATGCTGGAAGGAGAAAGACAGTCATTAGAAATATAACTTCACTGTAATGAGTCGAGACACAACAGAGAGGAAATAAAAAGACTCCGTCTGTATGTATCAACAAAAAATGTGTCAGCTTTGTCATTTTACTACTTAATAACATTATTGGAAATAGGGCTGTCATAAAAACTAATACATCAGTACCAAGTAGATGCCAAAATCTGGAAACATGATGGTACTTGTTTTTCCCTAGTAGTGTAAGTACTGTAGATACTGGAAATGCAATTCTTTTGCAAGTGTTGTAGTCTGACGTTAAAGGCCAAAGCAGAATGCCTACTGGCAACAACAACACAGCAAGTGCAACTGCAGCGACACCTCCATCTTGACTTGTCGAAAGGCTAAAGCTAATTGGGGTTGCCCCCCCGTGTTAAATGGTATCTCCCAGGTGCACTACGTCATCAAACCATGTGATGTTTGGTATTGTCGGAGTCAGGAAGCTCTCGACTTTTCAAAAATAACATCGTTTTTCTTTTATTTATTATGTATTTTGCACCAGAGCAGCCTAAACACAACAAGTCCAAAATCGCGATGAGTGGTGACAAGTCATGTCATGACGTTTTTCAACGGGAAAAGTTAAAGGATTACTTGCGATCTCATGTGGAGCCGTCAGTGGGCATGTAGCTGTTTTATAAAAAGGTAAGAGTCTCACTCCTACCACTATTTTTGGCTGAGATATACCGTCTAGAAAGTGGGATCATAACTTTCTCATTTCATATGGCTTTATTTGGTGATATTTTATGGTGTTTCTGTGTCATAAACAACATCAGCTATCATAATCACACCTGATTTCAATAAGGTACAATGTTTGAAGCTGGCTGAGTGTTGTTTGATCACTGATAGGACTGTTTTGAAGCCGAGTGACTGACTTGTCATTTGGAGTTCCGCCTGGATCTTTTCATGGATAAAACACTGTAGAATGGTCATACTTTGAGCAGTCTTCTTCAAATTTGAAACAAGTGTTCATTGATAGTGTGCCTACAGCCCCACAGTGTCATTTATCTGCTCAGATGAAGCCACAGACATTTATTCATCCTGAAAAACATGTTTTATTTTATTTTAGGCATAATCTTCAATTTTTTACTGACTTCAGAGGCCTATTACTCTGTCTCTGTATCACCTAGAGTGTTTCTGATACTTTCACTAGAAACTTCAGAGAGTTTTCTTTCTGTCAAGACCTCATGCATGCATGTAGTCAGAGCGGTTCAGAAGCTACTATCATTTAAATTTGGGTATGTCATTTTAGGCGTTTTTGCTACAAAATGGGGGTGGAGTACGAGATGTTTAATTACTTGCAACGGGAGCACCACGTATTCACACTATGCTACAAACGGCAGCAGCATGATGAGGGCCAGTGGCTATTCTGCTTGGAGCGCTGCATATTCTGCATTTTTTTCTGATAAACAGCTATTTAAAAATATTCAACTTAGGTTAAAACGCTGCACTCGTCATTGTCACTTTTTATCCAGCCATCAAAACACAGCAGAGGTGGGGTGGGACAAATAGCCTCCCATTAAGACCAAATGTCACATCTGACATATACAGGTGCTGAACAACAACAGAGGAAAAATATGTTAAAATACAGTAGGCTAAGGGGCCATTTATATGACAACGATTTCAGTAGAAACGGACAAGTCTGTCCTTTGCGTTTTAAAAAACTTCTGCGTTTATATGACGTTATTGAAACGATCCCCGTTCACACGGAGCCGCAAAATTTACTGGAAATGCTGTAGTATGCACGCCAGGCCAATGGGTGGCAGTGTAAATTTGCAAAGCAACACCACGGCATGACGCCATGTGCCTGCGCTGAAGCGCCTTCCTCTACAACGCGGTGATTACAAACCAAAACAAAGAAGACACACTGGAGAAAGCATGCACAGATAACTTTATCTGGATGGACGACGAGGTGGAGTTGCTACAGGAACAGATCTACACTTCACTTCAAATCAACAGGGTGAGCAGCACAAACAGAGCTCGGCATTGTTGTTGTGACGGTCGGCATGCCTAGTGACTGGAACCGTAATGGGCATGTGCGAAAAAAAGTTGAAATCGTTGTCGTATAAACGGGGCCTAAAGGGCTGCCCCCGACTAAGAATTTTCCTAGTTGACCAATAGTTGTCATCTAGAGCCATTAGTCGACTAGTCACCTGCATGTTTCTGATATTAATTTAATTATTAAATTAATGGGCATGTAGCTACTTCCATGTTTCAGATGATACGTCATGTTTGTAGTCGACCAATGAAGATGAGTTTACATATCACCTTGGGTTCGTCCTTCACCTTCTCAAAATGATCCCACACTTTGGATTTCCTGCCCGACATGTTATTAACTAGTACCAGCTGCAGTTTGTTTATTGTTTATGTTTGCTGCAGATATTCTGCTGGTTGTTATAGTCTTGTTATGTTTATCGCTTTAATAAATATATTAAATTGTATGTCATCAATTTTTACCCATGGTTTTAAAAAATGGTACTGAATTTTTCAAGGTATTGTATGAAAGTTAGACATTCCAGTATCGTGACAACACTGAAGCATTAGGATGAGAAATGGTTCATGTGTGCACCTCTCAGAAATTTCTTACCTGCCTAATATTTCCAGTAATTCTGCTATTCCATTATGATGTTCAGTCTCATAAATGAACCTGGAAAACAAACCTCATGATACATCATGGTGGAACACTCAACAGAACACACTCCATTAGTCACAAACACAAGTGCCACTAGTGAACCGTACTCAATGAGTCACTCACCTATAAAATATGTTATTAATCTGTTTCCTAATGTACGCTCGCAGGCCCAGGAACTTGCCATAGATGCGATGAAGAGTGGTCTTTAAAAAATCTCTTTCCCTGGGGTCTTCACTGTCGAACAGGTCTAACAGCTGTGCACAAAACAAAGGTCACTGAGAGCAAATTCAAAAAGAGCAGCAAATACAAAGATCAAACAAACGCACACAATGCCCTTCTCTCAATCATTTATAACCACACACATACATTCATATAACATGTACTCACCTGCATTACAAACTTCTGGTCAATATACTTTTTGGCTATGTTTGGTTGAAAGTCAGGTGACTCTAAGAACCGTAGGAAGAATTCATAGACGAGCTGAGGAAAGAAGAGCCGAGGTTAAAGGATGTCAGAGTAACAGCTGTGTGGATTTATTCACATCATAAACAAGACTCTGCCTGAGTGTGTGTGTGTTGTACCTGTAGATGTGGCCATGCAGCCTCTAGCGTGGGCTCATCTTCTTCTGGGTCAAACTCAGCACCCGTGGGGTTAGATGATGGCGGCAATGTCCTGAACATATTCACAGAAAACTGTGGGGAAAAAAAGAGAAAAGTAGGTCAGCTCAACAACAACAACACTCAGTAAACACAGGGGATTCATGGAACCATGTTTCACCTTCAGACAGAGATAAACTACAGATTTCAAATTATTTTTAAATGTAATATATCCAAAAATCTTAGGCGCATGATAGTGGACTAACTCTGGTGCGGTTGGTTTGTGGTGAGAAGGTGTTGCGACCTGGATGTGAAGCAACTGCAGTCACATGACACATTGTTTGGGTTAAACATGAGCATGTTACAGTCCTGGAGGATTATTAATGTGCACCTCCTCCTGTACTGCCTTAATATGCACATTCAGCACATCCAATGCATCAAAACATTGTTTTCTAGTTGGAGCCGCGCCTCGTTTTCAAACTGTATGGTTTGACTAAAATGAACAATGACAGCAATATAGTCCACGATGAGCAGCGCTAAAATCAACCTGCGTAGTTGTCCCTCCATTGTGACATTAGAAAGTGTCACATTTATCTTGCAAGTGTACTCTTCTTCAACGTTTGCTTTACTTCCTGGATTTTTCCCACATGGAAATTCTGACCAATCAAGAGCAGCTTTCTCACACAAGGCATTTGATCTGGTCCTCTTGTAAATGCTGCTGTGAGAACACGAGCCAACTCCAGGCAATTATACAACTTTGGAACAACATGAGTCTCTGATTCAGACCAAAGAAGACCACTCTAGGGCTGACAGCACCCGAGGAAAACTACTTCAGCTAAGGTTATAGGATATAAAACATGCCATGGTTACTTATATAAAACATTGACAAACAAAACTCACCCTACTTTGACAGGCTTAGATGATGCTCTACCTGAAACAATCCTGACAACTGACACAACCACGACAAATCTGACCTATTTCAACTATTCAAAGTCGCATCATTTAAGCTTCATCTTATTGACCTCTTTGCTGTTGGTCATCAGCGTACATTGATGATATTACCTGGTTCCAAACAAGGTGAGCTGATACTAGAAGGTGGAGTTAAATCACTGCAGACCACTGACTGGTCAGAGAGAATCATCACTAGCATGACACGGGACACCCTGCACAAACCGCCATTTTCAAATAGCAAACCAACTGCAACAGCAACCTCATTTTTTTATTCCCCCTGTCCCAAATTTTAAAAATGGCGGCCAAAAAACAACACACAGACATTCCTCATCCCTCACAGCTGTTTAACACAGCATTACTGTGGCAACCAGCTGCACATGGGGTACAATCTGCAATGGCAAACCAACTAGACAAAAGCACCTGTTACCAAGAGCGAGTCGAGTCAAGTGGAGCTGAACCACACAGTGGAAATGAGGTGTTAACAAACACTTTTTACCCACAATGCCCGCTGACCTCATACTAACATATAGCCAGGGTAAAAATATAACAGTACTGTTGCCAAACTCCAGCAAACATTAGCTCTGATTGTTGAGTCTGTCTATTCAACCTGCGCCTTTGACAGCTGATGATTGAATGTTTGCTTCTAAAACACACCTGACAGCTGAAATAATGAACCTAGTGGGGGAACTCAGAAATCCATCAGCGACAGTATTTGACAAGCAAACAGGGTTGTTAACAATCAGTGACTTGTCCCACAGCACTACAACAAATAATCAATAGGCTGAGAGGATGACTGCAAAGTACCAAAGAGGAAAACAAGCCTGTTTGCAACAACTTTCAAAATAAACTTAACCAGTGACATGTTCTACTTTTTAAAGGGGAAAACCACCAAAATTAAGAATTTAAATATATTATTTCCATGGCCAAGGAAAGTTCAATAAATATTTGTGAACATGAGCTGCTCTCTGTCAAAGCCAGAACCAGAGAAGTAAGTCTCAAACTTGTGATGTCATAGGGTATAAAATCTGGAGCTGCTCCGTGTCCTCATCAAATTTTCTTGCCCCCAATCCTGATTCAAGTTATTCCATATTGAGTATCTGTCGATAATACAGATGCACAGTTCAAGTACTTTAAAGTTATTAAAATCAATCCAATGAACAAGTCTGACTAAATAGCTGCAATGCATTAAGAAAAAAAAAATTGTTCCTTAATGTTTTTACTACGTATTTTTGGTTTATTAAGAAGTATAGAATAACAAATCCTCTTTTAAATTCTTTCAACCTCGATGCTGTTGCAAGGGAGTTTCTCTCTCCCTTTCAGAGAGTATTCTCCAGTGTTTGTTGCCTCGGTGCAGCCGATCTGTACATCTTTTGCACAGATCACAGCAATAAATTAGCATTTTCTTTCTGTTTTTTTGCTTGCGGAGCTATTATTGCGCTTGCAGTGGCGTGGTGAGTGTGACCGACCGCTGTCTCTCCTCTGCCCACGGTGGAACACAATGCGCCGGAGACGACGCAAGGTAAAACGCAAGAGACTCTCATATTAGGCTGAGACAAGTGCTCGTAATTTTGGTAAGTGACAAATAAACATGCTGTTGTTTATGGCGTGTGGTGTTTCGCTGCGGGCCGTGCTCAGTCCCTGCTCTGACACACACAGGAGAAACACCAGTGTGGCGGCTGACGTTAAACAAAGGATGGGATCAGGCTCTATGTAGCTCGATATAGCCGATACCTATCAGTTTAAAATGTCTTCACTGAGGATCCTTCTCACCTCCTCCACCGTTTCTTCCAGTTACTGCCATCAGGCTGAAGCTACAAAGTCCCACTGGCCCGAAAACATCTAGAAGAAATCCTTCATTCCCTCGGTACTAACCACCCTGATGGATCTAAAATAGACACTGCACTTTAATGCTTTTATCAGTTGCTGTTGAGCATTGTTGAGTCTTGTCAAAGGAGAATTTCTGTCACTGTTGGGACAGACAATAAAGTTTATCTATTCTATTCTATTCTTGATCGGCCCTGAAACTGATCCTGAGATCTGATCGGGACATCCCTCCTCAGAGAATTCCCCTGGACACTCTCATTGTCATCTGTAACATCATTCCCAATTCGTTGTCTTAAGGGCAGCTGCAGACTTCATACTCGATGACACTGTAAATCCAAGTTTTAGCACTGTACTTTTGGGATTTGGGAGCAGACAGTTGTTCATGGTTGCATATATTTTCAGACTGTCTTAGACCACTGGAAGAACTTGAATGAATTTTAATCCCATTTCTACCCCTTAAATCTTCCACTTGGTATTGAGTGCCCTCGTTTGCGAGATAACCCTTGATGAGGGAAGTGAGTAATATTAGGGTAGAGATCTTTCCCTACGAAATGGGACACCACTTCAAGCAAATTGGCATGGCCGACCTGCAGGCATACGCCACGCTTTGTAGCGGTGCAATGAAAATGCCAGCTCCAGCGCTTGTGTTGTGGCATGTGCTAAGTTTATTCTTCTCTGTCTGATGAATCAACGGAGGAGAAATGCTGAAAACAGGAGGCGCCTACGACGTCTTCTAGTTCTGATCGATTTTGTTCGGGTAAGTCGATTTGTTTAAATATTTTGACGCTGTGTTCAACCGAGTTGCTGATGAGTTTACACTAGTCCAACCGTCTGTTGTTTTTATAGCCTACATTTCGATCGTACAGTAACAAATTGTTTTCCAAAACTTGCCAAAGTTGCTGACTTCGCAAGGTGTTCTGGGAAATTTCATCTTCCACTTTGTTGAGAGTGTGGGTCGGGGCTCCCTTGGAATCTACGGCAGGTTTTAAGTGTTGGAAACCACTTCCACCACCTCAATTCTGTTTTGGGACACCACTAGCCTAAACGTGAAGTGCAAAACCAAGTGCAAGTGGGTATTTCTAGGGGAAGTGTGGGTATTGGGACAGGCCCTAATTCAGCCTCTGCAAACCGGTCTATCTTCTGGTTTAATTTTGCTTTTGAGAAACAACTTAGCTGTTAACTAAAAAAATAACTCACCCTAAAATCACTTCCTGTACTCCACTTATTGCCCAAAACTGCTCCATGAAAAAAGTCTGTCAAAATGAAGTTTATATTGTGCTAATCCATCCTCAATCTCCCTTAAAATTTTAAATGAGAAAATGTTGTATTTGCTTTATGAAAATGGAGTGAATGAAAATGTGTGTTGATGGTTTAATATTCCCTCTTGTGTTTATCTGAGATAGCACCCTGGTTCACTGGCGATGACGCTCCCCCGACTGGGAAGCATCCATCTGTTTTCCTTGGGAGTCTATTCTCACTTTCCAGACAGCACACTTAAGACAGTCCCTGCAGAATGCAGTCGACCAGAGGTCAAAACACACTCACTCACTATCATGTTTATATTCCTAGCAGAGACTGTTTCTTACTTCCCCCCAGAGAGTGGGACTAATGGAACAACCACTGTCGTGTCATCCAAAGGTCTGCCAAAATATTGTTCTACATTTCCAACACCGAGCCATCAAACATGTCCTGAAAGAACAAGGGCTTTCTGGAGGAAATAACATGTACGGCCTTAACATAAGAATACACTCTTTATGGCTGAAAAGGGAGTTTGTCGTGTCAATCTCCGTACTTTGATGATGAAAGCCATCAGTGGACTTCAAAGAGTCCTTGTCTTTAAGGGGGCAGGGGAAAAGGGCTGTCAGGAATAAGAGTATATTTTCATGCAGATTTGAAAGCTCTGTTGCTGATCAAATGAAGCCACGAGGAGGAGGATGGGGGTAAATTTGCACCTTGATCACCTGCAGCTTACCATGTGGCATTGAGGCAGGGCTTTGATTAAAATCAAAGGCTTTTAAATTTGGCTTGGGAAAGCAAACCTGGCACCAGGAACACATCCAGGCCACGACCTCGGAGGAACACATCTCTAATAAATATACAGTAGGAGCTCACACTGACTACAGTCCGACTAGACAAACTGCTTCAGACCTGCAGAGGGCGGAGCTACAGATGATTTAGCTTTAGTGACCTCACATGGGTTAACTTTCTTGGCCATCATTAAACAAACACCACTAAGTGACCACTTAAGGGAGACAAAATAGATGGATAAGGAAAACATTTAGGTTAGGATTATGTGACAAAGATCTTTGGGTTTACACTGAGGTCGGTGCTGCTCATGTGAGTTTTCTATGACTCAGTGAGGAGCCGAAAAATAAAGACTAAATGGGTCTGGAACAAGTAAGTATCGCTGGCAGCGCAGCAGAAACCACAGCGCATTGTCTTCCCATGGTGCTGGAATAAAGTCCACATGAAAAACAAGATCTCGGAGGATAAAGACCCATTATGCTCATTTTAAGGTTCATACTTGTATTTGGGGTTTCGACGACATCATGTTTACACGCTTTAATGTTCAAAATCCCCCACTATTTTCCCCATACGCTCCAATTTAGTGCCAGTCTCTTTAAGGCCCCCTCCTGAAAAAGCCCAGTCTGCTCTGATTGGTCAGTGTTTCTGGATCTTCTGCATCTGTGCTCTCAACTTCTCTGCACCATCATTGCAGGGAATGACTGTAACAGAGTATAACGGCACTTTCTACGTGATTGGGTACCAAACCCAATACTTGCAAGGGTACTGACCCAATTATGTCGGTGCCAGAGAGGACTGATCCATGTTAGAGCCAAATTTCCGTACCTGGTTTAGACAAGAAGTGCGGCAAATTTCCCTGAAGTCTAGAAGCCAGCCACAGAGCTCCACTGTGCCGCCATGTTTAATTTGAGAGTGGAAGCGCCTCAAAGCTGAGAAGCTAGCAACAAAACTCTGCGGAAGCTCTGACGGTTTCCCAGCAAGCCAAACTTATTACTGCAGCGCTGATGTGCTGTGATAGTTTTGGCACCTGGTCTATTTACTTATCCATATTATAGAACAGACACATTAGCTCTATATGTCATTAGAAAAGAGCAGAGGAGCAGAACTGCCAAAAATTGCATTTTTGTTACTACAGAGAAAGTAAAGTACTGTAAAAAGGTACCACAGGGGAGTGGTTCACATGTGAATGGTGCCCAACACTACTTTCTACTGTGAACAAAAGCTTCTAAACCTCATCTTCAAAAATAAATTTGTTCCAGCAGGAATATAAAATCAGGTAGAAATTCACAACATTAGCACTGAGATTACATGTTTCTGTGACGTTAGCTTGTAGCTACAAGTAGTACTTTGGCGTAATCATGTCAACACTTGTAGTAGCGTGCCTGGGGCAGATGACCATATACTGAAATCTGCACGAGCGATGTCATCTTGTCTCAAAAATGTATATGACTGTTGAAAACAGAGTATTTAGAAAGGTACATTCATATATATGACGGACAATAAGAAAGAGCATAATAGGTCCCTTTATATGAAATACGAAGGCAAAAGCTAAATTCAAGTGACTGAGATAGTTTTTCAAGATCACATGCATTTAGTGGTATACACTTCATTAAAGTGTATCACAGAACTCTAAAGACAATGGAAGACAGTCCTCGTGCCCATGTTATCCATCACAGAAGACCATAGCTGCCGATTTACTCATCTACCTAGGGAGAGGACTCCATTTTCATATTTAATGAATTACAGGGTCAATATGGCAAAAGAAAAAGACCTGTTACGTTGCCCTCCTAAAAGACTCTTTCAAAACACACTGCCTTTCTTATTAAAGATCTGACATGGAAGATAAAATATTACTGAAAGTAATAATCAACTTTTCTGCAAAGTCCAAATATAAAATTGAACCACAAATCTACAAAAACTGTGACAAGGATTTTGCCTTAAAGATTTCATTTAGCGCAACTTTAAGACATTTTTTAAAACAGCAGCAGTGTCACATTTATTGTAACTTCACCTCACTGATGCGAAACTCAAACCTGCAACAGTAGCTTAAAACCAACATCCATCCTGTCCCAGCACAGACGAGGCCACATTGTGAAGGAAATAAAAATACCACAATCTGTGTCAGGCCTGCAGCGTAAGCAACCGCTTTGCCTTACACCGTATACAGGAACTTGTAGTCTGGAGCTGATTAATGTACAGTACTCAGATAGATAACCTGACGACACTCACTGCTCCAACTGTTGGAGAATTATATTTTCCAATGAGGAACCTCCAACAGCTCAAAATAAAATAAGATAATGACTGTTAACTTGTGAATGTTAGTGACAAATCCGTGTCTGTTTCAATACTGACCACATGAACCACCTCTGGGTAGATGGGTTCGGTGATTACGTTCCTGTTGTGGGTGATGTACTCCACCATCTCGCTTAGCGCCGCCCGTTTCACCTCCTTCCATTTCAGGTCACTCAGTGGGTCCGAGACAAAATCAAAGAGGACGCAGCACTGCCGCAACTTCTGGATGAACAGCTTCTCCTGCTCTGCGGGGGGAACATCTACAAGACAGAGAAGGAAGGACAGTGGGAATTAACACGTCTGACATAATGTGTGTGAAGATTTCTTTTATTAGAAAATAATTATCCCAGCGTGTATCTGAGAAACTGTCCCTCACAGTTCTGTCCCTCACAGAACAACATCTTACTATCGCACAGTTTGCTGAACAATCACTGTTTCACGACCATGTTTTATCTCAATATCATCATCAGGGATGAAGATGTGCATGAAGTTCTACTGACTGATTGGACAGTTTCGGCGTTTGGCACCCTGCATCATCAGGGCACACCTGGAGAAGTCAAATCTGGCAGCTGACAGATGTTCATGCAGCAGCACTTGTAAAGTGTTAAGCTATATTTATCTCCTTTGGTTTCACAATGAGCTCATAGAGAGATAACTGATCGTAAGCATTATTAGTGAGCTATTATTAGACTGCAAACCAATCGCATGTTATGAGAAATGACTAACAGAGACAGGAGGAAAAGAAGGCGTCTTGTACAGAAATGATTCAGGGATTAATGCTGTGGGATGACCGTTACAAACTTTTTAATGAATGAAAACAAAGTACACAGAGTTGGAAACCATGATGGCAGTTTGAACAGCTTTTAAATCAGGGATAATACCCTCATTGACGTGCATGAGTGTTACCATGGTTACATGAATGCACACTAGCATAGATTGGTTAGAGGAAGTACATGGCCTTTATCAGAATTTATTATGATATTGCGGATTTACTATTGGTTTAACTGTTGAAATCGTGCTAAAATCACATATCTGCTGTTATAAAATCCTGCACCAGGGTTTGATTGTCAGCTTTCACACCAGCCCAAATGAACCTTACTAACCATGCAAACGGACTTGAGTTTGTTTCAACTGAACCGAACAGGGTAGACATGAAGACACCCTGACATAATCAGCACTAGAACATAAACACAGCAAATTGTTAAGCATAACAGAATGGGCTATAGAGAAGTGGCCAAAAGTGCTGTAGGAGCTTTAAAATTTAGGAAAACGTACGCATGATGTTGCAGCACCTGACACTGACCCGGTTACTCTGGCTGTTTAAGGTGGGATTGCTGCAGCATTATTCCATACAGTACAATAGGGAGACAGAGTTCAGGGTTTCCCACACATTCATTTCTTTGTAGCACCACATCACGATTAAAACCTCTGCCGCCATGTTTAGATTCTCTATTTTTGGAACTGCATATTTCATTAGGTGGCTGTTGAAATATATATATTGTTCGGTTGTTTTCTACAATACGCTCTCGGAGCACAGAGCGTTCTCTGGGCACAGACGGAGCAGCAGAACATCAGGCGCAGTTAAAGTGAAAATTAACAATGCACTGTGCTGGGTCTAAAAGCAGCTCCTCTGATTAGGGATGCATGATAATATCAGCACCTCACCGCTGATACTGGCTTCAAATGATCAGAATTGGCCAAGATGCTGATTGGTATCAATCAATATTTAGCTTTAAAATCAATATTTAGAATAGCCCAGCATGCTTTCTCTGCATGTTTTTTTTTATTTCTATGTATGTATACATAGAAAGAGCCTCAAAACTCCACAAACTGCTGCTGAGAAAAAAAGAAGAAATCTGCCTGCGCTGCGTTCATGGACCCACAAAAACCTCCGCATTTAGAAAGGGGACACAGACTGATACACAAGGACACACCTGTATGTCTCGATGCTTTGTTTGTTGCCATGGTAACAGCCAAAAAACACTTCTTTTTTTTCTTTTCATTTATTCAACATGCAACACAAAGACATACACAGAACACACAACACAGAGGAGATGTTAACGTCAATATTCACACACTTATCTATACTTGAAATCTCTTCATGTCCATATTCACCAATAATAAATGCACCTGCAATGGTGATAACCCTTTCCAAAATACACCTACTAGTTAAGCACACAACCCATAATTTACCATTTATAATCCAATAAAAAGAGCACAAGAAAATCTACATATATGTATAACACACATAACAAAAACAGTAATAATAATAATACCACTTTTTTAATGTTTTCAAGTTGTTTTTTCTCCCAAAGCTTCAAACGTTATTCAGGTTCAGTACAGCTTATGGGCTGGGCCATATGGAGAAAATCAAATACGATAAATACCTTGATGATCTTGAAGATATAATAACTAAGTGGGTAAAGACAACTGAACAGCTAGCAGTCTGGTAAGTTCAGAAAATGACATCACATCACTGTAATGTTGCCTGTCAAACCAGGAGGAGACAACACTCATGATATTAATCCAAAATCTAAGATGGTATCTATCTCAGATCATGCTATCGATATACTGCCCAGCCTGAGTGCAGCTGTATTCTGCTGCTGTGGAGTTCATGTGTTGACATGTAGAGACTTAATTGAAAGACTTTGTAAATCAATAATTCAGTCTTTCAAAGACAGTGTCACCACTGCATCAATGATGCAGAGGCTCTACATCTGCCTCCAGGAATATTGAGCCGCACCTGTCTGTGTATAATCATTAACTTCCCCATTTAAAAATCATTACACGTTTTTGTAGCTTCTGCACACTCACTGAGAACGAGCCAGTCTCCACTCTGAGCCAGCGTGCGTGCATTATCGCCGTGCAGCAGCTGCTGCAAATAAATCAATGATTAACACAAATCATCCACGACATGCTTACTCAATATAACATGTAATCATTTCACCAGAGAACAATACGCCAAAGTGGTGCATTTTGAGCTCATGTTAAAATATACTGAGACTTTCAGCAGCTTCCCAAAATACTCTGGAGCTGTGCCAGGAGCGAGGAGCAGAGGAGCTAAATGCAGACTCACCGAGGAGTTCTGTTCTGCACTTTGGAGCCGTTACAAGTCTGCTGCTCCCCAGAGAACCTGAAGGGCTTTCCCGACTCTACAGCAAAAGTGTTTCAGACACACCAGGAACAAAGTCGTGCAGTGCTTCATAAACATGTGAAAGAACTTTAGAGCCAGAGTTAAAAATAAAGGTAACCATCAGAGGGACTGGAAACAGACATTATGTGTGCTGTCAGTAATCAGGCAGCACAACTCTGCAGCAGGTGTTACTGATTTGCAGCTTTTGTCATGATGTATGTTCTGCAACGGGACATGCTGCTTTCACTGAGGGAATAACTAACTTGGTTTCATTGACAAAATGTCAGCCGCAGCGTGTAAGAAACGACAGTAGAAGGACAGCTTCTCCTGCAAGTCATTTGAGCCACAGCTGGTCAGATACCAGCGATACAAACCCTGAAACCAAAAAGAAGCATAACGGTGCCCATTCATGTCGCCCGTCCAACATGGGGATTAGTGACTTAAAACAAGAAGTCACCTTATGAAACCTACCCACAGGACAGCATTCACAGCATCGTCACAGCCTTTGATTCATGAGTCAGTCTTGTCTCCCCATTAACAATCTGCATGTGTACTGTACGTCACCATGGTGACCACAGGCAGAGATAGGACTTTGGACCTGGGGGTGACCACCGCTAATCAAAGATGTACGCAGGCTGCTGCTAGTGTTACACTGAAATCATATGCGGCTGATTTGTTGAGCCCGTCAGCTGCGCCCATGAGATGTGTCAGCCAACCTGACCTTGTGCAACACCAACTCGGAGTCGACAGAATACCCAGAATACTACGGATGGGTCACGATTTTCGAATAGTCGTTTTATTTTTGAAAAATCGATTTTTTAATGCGACTATTACTATTCGCCGTCTTATTTCCCCCCCTTTATTTGACATGCAATTCAGCTCCTAACCGCACGAGGGCAGTCTAGGATTGCTACAGCTGTGTGAGATGCTCTTCTACAAACAGGAGAAACATGCAGAGACTACTACTCCGTGAGGTATGTCCGCAGTCATTCGGGCTTTCATAGTCGAGCGCACTTCCACGTTGTAGTTTCCTGTAAAAATGTCCGTGAAAAATCCCTGCGATGTGAAAAATACATGCCGAGCAGTCACTGGTGTGCGCGAACAGGGCTTGCGGACGTCCGCTTTGAGTCCGCGTGGACCTCCGTAGAGTCCATTCCGCCCGAGTATGTTTGGCCCTTTAAAGATGAATGGATCTCTGTGTGCGTACGATTTTCGAATAGTGTTTTTGCTTGTGTTGCCCATCCCTACAGAATACATCAATCATTCATCACTTCTAAAAGACTTAAGGTAGAAATGCAGACATGTTACTGTTAGGAAACCATTTTGTGTCATTACGTTCACAGAAATTAAGCAAGTAAAGATTTAAACATAGTGGGAATATGGTTAGGTGTGCAACAGGTAGAGCCTCAAAACACAGCTTCATCATTATGACATCAAATTCCCAAAGGAAATGCTACAAAACACATCTTAAACTCAAACCACGAAACCACACAGAACTACAAAAATACTCATATTAAAGCTGTTAATAATTAACCAACAAAAAGATTTGGCAATCAGTTTAACAGTACAAAATATATATTTACATATAAAACCAGTCACACATGGATGACTGATAAAGATAATATTCAGCTCTTACAGAAACCTGTACTGACATGGATCAGCTTGTGGGTGCCATAAATCAAACTGCTTTGCCCTCACATCCCCTCACATACAGAGCTGTCAGCAGATCGTAACAGATAGTGTCCCACTGAAGAAAACATTCTGCGGTTTAGTCCCGTCAGAAGACACAGAACAACAAGGTGAAACTCAGATTTCAGAGCAGTTATGTATTTGGGTAATTTTGCTTTTCTGTAGCAAAAGAAAAGTGCATCAATTGAAAGTGTGCACCACCCGTCCCTTAGTAACTACAACTGTTTACAACAAACAACAACACAGAAAATAAAAGCTGTACTAACTACAAATCCACAAAGCATAGCTATTAGGTACTTTATCATAACAGGAAACAGATTACTCACGTACACATAAATCATCTTTAGATAAAACCACACAATCATCATCTTGCATATGAATGCACACTCCTCTAAAGAGAAAATGGCTTTAGCTTTGCTGACATCTTTCCCAGTAACA